GTAAGTTGTGTTGGTCATTAATAGTACTTAGCAATAGCGCTTAGACTTATATACCACTTCATAGTGCTTTTACAGCCCACTTTAAGTGGTTTATAGAGTCAGCATATTGCCCCCAACAATCTGTGTTCTCATTTTACCGACCTCGGAAAGAGGGAAGGCTGAATTAACCTTGAGCCTGGTGAGATTCAAACTGCCAAATTGCAGGCAGCCTGCAGTCAGCAGAAGTAGCCTGCAGTACTGCACTCTAACCACTGTGCCACCACAGCTCTTGAATGCTGATGCAAGGCTACTCATTTTTGTCTACATTTTCACTTTGAGGCAACTATGCAGAAAATACCTGAAGGGCAAAAGAAGTAGTTAAGACAGGCTGCTCCCAGTATGTACTGTACAGGTGTTACTCTCGACCACTTTGCTTCATGAATCTGGTCTGTATGAGTCAAGCAAACCATCTTTGAATCGCATCACCCATGAGCAGCAAAACCATAAGAATTCAATACTATTTTAAATGTCTTATATTGCTTCTAAACTCTATTTTTATATCTCAGCCCCTTGTTTTTGAGTCATGCATTCATCATAATCAAAAGATTTCAAGAATAGAAATGAAAATTGCATGTTTACACCACTCCCTTTGTGTTTAGCATATTATCTAATGTTCAAATGTTCTACCCCTGGAGTTTCACTCACACATTCGTACCTTCTCTGTATCGATCCCTTTCGACATTGACCATGTGGAGACAATATAATCCATGACACGTTCACTAAGGCCTTTGGGGACTTGGTATAACTTTAAGAAATCCCTCACATTGTTCAACATCTCATGGTAGCGATTGGTGTTGGCGTACATTTGTTGGAAAATTGTAGTGACGTTTCCAAAAATAGTTGCATAAAGAAGAGCTGGAAGAGATCCAAAAGAGTAATTAAAAACCAGCAAAGAGACACAAACTGCCAGCAGTTTAATCAATGCTAAAGCGTCCTTCATTGTTTCATCGAATATTTTGGTTGCAGTCAATTTGATGCTGAGCTGAGCTAGGAAAATATATTAATCACAATTCTGGAGCAAGATGCAAGTGGAGATAGTAGATTAAGAAAACACATGAGGAAGGTTATTTAGAGTGCCACAAGTTCGCAACAGAGCCATCAGATATTCTATAGCTCTCAGATCCTGACAGATAGAACAAGACCTAAAAGATAGAGCTTGGCAGGCCAAGGGCTTAGATCTGATAGGCTAAGACAGAAGTAAATGATGTTCAGATCAATGGGAGAACATAACGGGGCTTACTCATTCAGAAATAGAAACAGATAAACATGGTAAAGCAGAATAAATGACTCAATTTCTCAGTCCAAATGGAGCTTCCTGCCATTCACACTGGCTTTCCATTCTGAGGTGAGGTTTCATTTTCTGGAACTCAGGTCAGAGGAAGAGTTATTTTGACATCCCTGGGTATTTGTGCAAATCTTTCTGGTTTATTTAATATTATTGTTCCTTCTCACCTCCACCCTCTCCCTGTCATACAGGAAGATACAGTGAATAGTTTACTATAAATATTTTACCACTGTAGTGAACTTACATGTATTACAAGTAAATGGTATGAAAATAAAATCTGAACGTAACCAACCATGTGTACATATTGAACTAGTTTAGACATTTATCATCTCTCCTTGAAATAATGGCATTATTTAATTGAATGGATTGTTATATTTCTAACACTGTAAAAAGGATATTGTTATAATTTCAAGTTAGGAAGTTGCTCATTGATTCAGAGGTCCCTGTCATCAGGGTTTCAGATAGGCATCAATTTATGACTGGTCACTTAACAATCATTTAAGTTATGGCAGACTTTCACAAAAGATACTTAGGATTTGAATTCAAAGTTCCAACAGCTGGCCCCCTCCTAATGGTCATGCGACTGCATTTGGGGCACTTGGCAACCAGCTCATATTTATAGCCAATTGTAGCATCCCGTAATCAGATGACCAAGAGCTGTTGTGGCGCAGTGGTTAGAATGCAGATACTTCCGCCGATTGCTGGCTGCCGGCAGCTTGGCAGTTCGAGTCTCACCAGCTCAAGGTTGACTCCGATTTCCATCCTTCTGAGGTTGGTAAAATGTTGTTGGGAGCAATATGATGACTCTGTAAACTGCTTAGAGAGGGCCGGAAAGCACTTAGTGGTAATTGAGTTTATGTGCTTTTGCTATTTACATTTTTTGCTTGAAACCAGCATTTATTTCTAGTTTCTAGCAAAAAATAAATAAATCCCAAACCATAATGAACAATAGGTTCACTTAACAACTGCAGAATTCACTTAACAAACACAGCATTTGCTATACAACCATTCACTTAACTACTGCTGAAAAAAGGTTGTAAACCTGAGTGTGATCACATGATGACCTGCTCATGACCTCCATGAATTGTGGTGGCGCAGTGTTTAGAGTACACTACTGCAGGCTACTTCTGCTGACTGCCAGCTGCCTATAATTTGGCAGATCGAATCTCACCAGGCTCAAGGTAGACTCGGCCTTCCATCCTTCTGAGGTCGGTAAAAGGAGGACCCAGATTGTTGGGGGCAATAGAGAGGGCTGTAAAGCACTGTGAAGTGGTATATAAGTCTAAGTGCTATTGCTAAGTACTATTAATGACCAACACAACTTACGATTGTAAATGAAGACTCAATTATGGTCCTACGTCAAGGACTACCTATAATAAAGTACTGTTGAATATAAAGTTTGAGAGCCACAAAAAGGGAAACACGTTCTTTTTTTCTTCTTTGTAGTCTTATCATTATAATTTCTGCATTTGAATTGGCAATCAATTGTTTTTTTCCTGGTTCATGACACTAGATCACAAAAGGCAGTTATGTGAGGGTCATGCTACCTAAATACCCAGGGCCCACCAGGACATCTGGAGAAAGAAGAACAGTCATTACCGGAAAGTTTCCTCATCTGAGATTGTATCATCTGGGAAATAAAGTGAGCTATTTTTCAGATATATAAACTTCACCTTTGTCCAAAAATACTTAGTTTTTCTTCTCTACTCTCAAAGATTTTATGTGCTCCTTGGGGTATGTTAATTGCAATTGATCCCTAGGCAATGTAATTTTTCAATAACTGCTGCCACTTTAGACAAATGAAAGTCTTCTCCATTCCCCATGTCTTCTACCTTTGCATCTAACTATTGCATTCTTGGGATATCATTAATGGGAACCAAGTACAGAAAAACCAACAGATTATATGCATGCAAGATCTCCTAAAGGACAAGGTGACTCAGTGGCTAAGATGCTGAGCTTGTCGATCAGAAAGGTCAGCAATTCAGCAGTTTGAATCCCTAGCACTGTGTAACGGAGTGAGCTACCATTATTTGTCCCAGCTTCTGCCAACCTAGCAATTCTACTTGCATAAAAATGCAAGTAGAAAAATAGGGACCCATCTTGGTAGGAAGGTAACAGTGTTCCATGCACCTTTGGCTTTTAGTCATACCACGGAGATGTCTTCGGACAGTGCTGGCTCTTCGGCTTTGAAACGTAGATGAGCACTGCCCCCTAGAGTTGGGAACGACTAGCACATATGTGCGAGGGGAACCTTTACCTTTAAACATCTTTAGTAACTCCTGGACTTTTTCCAGCAGCATTGATCTCACTTGTCAATGACCTGTAGTAGGACAGGAATGGAGTGTTGTAACATTCCTAGTCCTGCTTGATTTCTCAATCTTACTGGTTGTGATATCACAAATCATGGATTGCCTCATGTTGGGAGTGAGAGTTTCTCCTTCTTCCTTCATGATCAATTCCAGCTGCTACTGGTGGGGGAGATAGATGGAGCCCAAAGCTCTGCTTTGTGGTCACTAAGTGAGCCCACCTGATGAGAACATTCATAATTTAGTCATCTACCTTTCCAATGACTACACTACAAGGAACTGTACTAAAAGACTACTTTGAAGCTACCGCTAGTTTAGAATACAATGACATGAGTCATTACTGGTCTTTTTTAGTTTCCTCATGTAATAACCATAATTTGTAAGTTGTGCTTGTTGCCATTTGGCTTTTGGGTGCCAAATAGGTTGCTGGTGATGCACATAAATATCTCTATGGTTTAGAATCTGGATACCTTGGTTGTGTCTTTCTCTGGCTATTTCTGCCCATCCAGTAAGATGGCTCACCCTTGGTCTCATCAGTAAGGCAACATCATCTATGTCTGTTCCTGCCTTCTGAAACACGCTTCCACCCTATGTCGCTATAAGACACAACCTTACTGTGCTTTCGTAAAGCCTTAAAATTGAAGGCTGAAGTAGTTTTATACAGCTTTGTAATAGGTTTTACTGGTTTCCTAATTGGAATTTCTGAAAATGATAATTTTTGGCACTATTGAGGGTTTTTTTTGGGGGGGGGTGAAGGTTCTTGCTTTATTTTATTTGATATAGTCTGCCTAGGATTGCAAATTGTGATTAAAGGAGTCTCTCTCTAAGCTTGATGTTTAAACCAATAGCAAATATATGAATAAAGCTCCTGAAATCTATGAGCCTTTATTAAATATAATGGCTGATTTCACATAAGTTTAAACAGTTCTGTCAAAGACACAACTATTAGCATTCCCATAACATTCTATTCTTAATTAGTCTATCGATAGCTTAGCATACCATGCAAAAACAGCTCATTTAACTAGGTTACACACCTGGAACGAGAAGTAGAAACTAAAAATTACTTTAATACAGTAGCCAAATCAGCATGCTAGATGAATCCACCTCCCGAGTCAAAGTCTATTCGATCATATAAAAATAAAATCACGGGGAGGTAGCTATCCAAAAATGACAGAGGCCATGTATCACTGTAGCCAATTTAAAACATTTGTGACTGTCATTTTTGTCTCTCCTCATTAAATTTACTAATGCACTTTATATCAAATTGACATCAGCATGCTAATTTCATTCTCTCTGTCAACCCACTTGTCATGTTTCATGAGTTAAAGATATAAATATTGCAGCACTTCCTGTATTATCTAAAGTCATGGATATAAAAGAAAGTTGGTCAGCTCACATTTGAATATGAACTTGGCAGATCTACATTTCCTGAACTCACTGAATCAGCAGGAGTAGTTATCATATGAGCTATATTTTTTTAATTAGTCAAAATCTCACAACATTGAAAATATTATCAGTCTTACCCAGAAATCTCATAATGACCTTTGTGAGATTATATGCTTAAATCACTGAAGATTCTTACATGGAAATTCAGATCTGATGAATCTGGAGATCTTACAAGATACAGTCAGTTTTCACACTTAAATTTAACTTAACTGGGGGGCTACATGGTTTTTTTGTTCTTGTTTTAGTAAAGGAGTCAATTGATCTCTGATACCTTATGTAATTATTTATTACATTTACAGTTGGAAATTTCCCCCACCCCTAAAATGTTTATTTAGACGAGAGGCCAAACTACACTGAAGAACATTTATTTTGCAGTCAGTCACTGGGACCAGAGACTTAGTCTTCTGAGATGGTCTTGTGACCAACCCAGATTGGATCATACAACGTTATCCTGAGATAGTTGCCTTCATTTCTGAAAATTCATTTTATTGACAAATGTTGGTGTTGGAGGCCCAAGGACAAAGTCAGGAGAGGGGTGGGATTACAATAAACCCTCTTTATTGGCATAGGCAAATGAATCCCTCCATTTAATTGGTTATGGTTTTTTTTAATAAATATAATTAAAGATCTTATAGAACATGTAAAAACTAGCATAAGCTACTACAGAGGAGGGAGGGAGGGAGGGGGGAGAGGCAAATATAAGTACACTATAATATATAACTATTTGTTTCTATTACCAATTTTTTCCCTAATCATCAAAAACATTTTTTCTTCATTTATGAAAAAAAAAAGTCTATAAGGGTTTTCCAGTCATCCAT